GCAGCCCCGGGCACCAAAGAGGACCAGGGCCCGCCGTGTTCTCAGCTTGGTTCTCTGCAGTTCTCCCTGCATCTGAGCACAGGATGGGATGGGGAAATTGAGCTCAACCACAACAGGAGCTCATGGAACCGAGTGGCCATTGGGACACTGCAGGGCCTCCTGGAATCCAGGGGCTGGTGGGACACTGGGGAGCCTCTTGGAGCCAAGGGAGCCCTGGGATGTTTTGGAACATCGTGGGATCAAGTGGCCAGTGTGACGCTGCGGGGCCTAAAGGAACCAAAGGATCCAAGAGACACCGGAACCTCATGGAACAAAAGGTCCATTGTGACACTGCAGGGCCTCATGGAACCAAAGGAACCCTGAGAGGTTTTGGAACCTCATGGAATCAAGGGGCCATTTCTGGCAGGATGCTCTGCTCTGATAATACCTAAACAATGGTCAGAGAATGCAAACAATGCACACTCTCTGTGGTGAGTTACTGCTGGTGCCAAGGTGCTGTTTTAATGTTTAATTATGCTAAACCCAAAATGCTTCATGAAACTTCAAACACACATCCTGCTTTCTGAAGCAGGATTTGACAGATAAGCTGCTCCCTGGCCTGCAAATATGTCTGGCAGTCAAACCCTTGATAACTGTAAAAGCCCCATCCAACTTTCATGTGTCAGATTCTTCCACAGACTTCCTTGAAGTGTGTGGAGCTTCTGGCATGAAGCAGGGACAGCTCTTCATGGTCACTGCCCAGGGGTTAAGTGAAAGAGAGAGAACTACCCCCTGTGGTTGTGGGGTGAGTTACCTCAATCTCTGCTTCAGGATTGTTTCTTTTTGCTGGCTTTGAGACAATTGCTTCCCTACCTGAACTGTAGCCCAAATGGAACAGTTTGGATACAATTCCCAAATATTTTGAAAACTCCAGTCATTACTGACATGAGGATAGAAATTCAGCAGATTACTAAAGCCAGTCACCTTGTGAGCCCACAACCTGCTCCATGGCCTTCCCTGGTCCTGAGGTCAATGGGACAGGCCAGGAGTTGCCCAGATGCTCCTTTTGGCCCTTCCTGTGCATGGGCATCCCATTGGCTTGTTGCCAGTCAGCTGGGACTTGTGCAGTTGTGCAGCACTGCTGGGGAAGGAGTGAGAGTGGCTTGGCCAGCTCTTTCTCCAGCTCCCTCAGGACTCTTGGCTGCATCCCATGTGGGCCCAGGCACTTGTGGGGGTCTCACTGGCAGAGCAGGTCACTGACCATTTCCTCCTGCATTGTGGGGGCTTCACTCAGCTCCCCATCAGCAGCTTCCAGCCAAAGCCTGCCTGCCAGGTGTCCAAGGGGTCAGTTCTGCTGCCCCCTCCTTCCTTCCCCCACAATGGAAAACTCCCTCATTTTGGGTCCCTGTGCCCCAGATGGCTCCGACCACCACCTCACCCACCAGTCCCACAATCATGGAATGTTTGGCTTGGGAGGGGCCTTAAAGAGCATCTCAGCACCCTCAGAGTCAAGAATTCCTTGCTACTGTCTCCTGGAACCTTCCCTCTGTCCGTGTGAAGCCACTGTCCCTCGTCCTGTCCCTCCAGGCCCTTGTCCAAAGTCTCTCTCCATCTTTCTTGTTGGTTCCCTTCAGGCACTGCAAGGCCACAATTAGATCACCCCAAAGCCTTCTCTTCTCCAGCCTCAACAATCCAAATTTTCTCAGCCCTGACATATTTCTGAACCTCCCAGAATCCAGGGGCCATTGGAACCCTGCAGAACCTCCTGCATTCAAGTGGTCCTTGTGAAACTGCAGGCTCTCCTGGAACCCAAGGATTCCTGGAACACTGCAGAGCTCATGGAACCAAGGGGCCACTGTCCCACTGCAGCTACTTCTGAAGCACAAGGGAATCTGGGACAGTGGGAAATCTCCGAGAATCCAAAGGGCATTTGGGGACTGCAGGGCCTCATGGAACTAAAGGAACCTTTGGACACTGTGGAAGCTCATGGAATCAAGGGGCCATTGTGACATGTGGAGCCTCCTGGAAGCAAAGGAACCCTGAGAAGTTCTGTGGGAAGAAGTTAAGGCAGCAGCAGCTGCATTCAGTTAATCAGGATCAACAAGGAGTGTTTTGGCCTTGACTGGTGTTTTCCATCCAGAGAGTGCTGTTTGCCAAAGTGGAAACCACTTGGAACGCTCTGCATGGGAGCCTGTGTTTTTCTCTGGTGGCTGAACACAGCCAGCACATGAGGGGAGGGGAATGTGTGGGATCAGGGCACTGCTCTGGGGCAATGCTGGGAATTCTCGTGGACTAAAAGGCAAACCCCAGGTGCTGTTTCCAAAGGAACCCCAATGAAAGGGGGATGCCGGAAGGATGGGCGGACAAGTCCTGCAATGGAACTCTGTGTGTGCAGCCTCATTTTCTCCTTCAGTGCCCACAGGAGAGGGGGCAAAAAGTGGGGGTTGGGACCCCAAAACTGTTCGAGGGACGAAAATGGGGATTGATGGGACAATGGGAAAGTGAGAGGAACTGGGAGAAGGGTGGAAAAGAGAGGGTGGTCTGGTAGGTCCGATGGTCCCATGGGGGTCTTTGGGCACAGGGGGATTGGCAAAAGGGGGTGGCTCCCTGAGCTCCAACCTTACTGTGGGATGCTGGAGGCTGCTGGATCCAATCTCAGCCTTGCATTATACCAACAGTTTCAGTTAAGAGGAATTAAAGAGGTGTGACTTAACCACTTTTGTCCCCCAGGTTTTAATGATGGCAAATTAGATCTATTGATAGAAATGAATTATTTAGGGTTACAAATGATCAGACAAAAGATCTTCATCACATTTATTGTACAGTATACACACTAAAACTACCAGCAGTACAGCATAAGATAGGACAGTGCTCTACACTAAAGCAATTCTTGAAGCAATTCTACTCAAGCTGGCACAAAAGCAACAATTCTTAATTAAAGATGGATGGAACTCCCCCAGACCAAAGCTCCTGGGGAGATCTCTGCTCTCAACCTCCAGAACTGCCCTTGGGGGGGCTTCTCAGCCAAGGCAGGAATCTCCACACACACCCCCAAGAAGGGTTCTGTTGGAAGAATCTGCTCCTGGGAAAGGGGACTGGCCCTTTGTGGTCGAAAGGGATGGACTGACAGTCACTGGACTCCAGGGGTTGCCTCATCATCAGGGGCTTCATTCGGGGTGGAAGCAGCAGCCGAGGCTCTTCCGCAGTTGGGGCACTCGTAGGGCTTTCCCTTACTTGTGGGTCTGTTGGTGTGAGGTCAAGTAAGAGCTGCGGGTGAAGCTCTTCCCACACTCCCCACACTTGTAGGGCCTCTCCCCGGTGTGGATGCGCCGGTGCCTGACGAGGGCGGAGTTGTGCTTGAAGCCCTTCCCGCAGTCGGTGCAGCGGAAGGGCCTCTCATCCGTGTGTGTCCGCTCATGCAGGAGGAGATGTGCGCTTTGCTGAAACCTCTTCCCACATTCCAAGCACTTGTAGGGACGTTCCCCAGTGTGGATACGCTGGTGGATGAGGAGGTGGGAGCTCTTCGTGAAGCTCTTCCCACATTGCCCGCATGTATAGGGCCGTTCCCCAGTGTGTAGGTACTGGTGGGTGCGGAGGGTGGAGCTGTCCCTGAAGCTCTTCCCACATTCCCCACACGTGTAGCGACGTTCCCCAGTGTGGATGGCCTGGTGTTGGATCAGATTGGAGCTTTTCTTGAAGCCCTCGCCACATTCCCCACACGTGTAGGGCCGTTCCCCAGTGTGTATGTACTGGTGGGTGCGGAGGGTGGAGCTGTCACTGAAGCTCTTCCCACATTCCCCACACATGTAGGGACGTTCCCCAGTGTGGATGCGCTGGTGTCGGATCAGCTTGGAGTTTCGGTTGAAGCTCTTCCCACATTCCCCACATATGTAGAGCTGTTCTCCACTGTGGATGTGCTGGTGGGTGAGAAGGTTGGAGCTGTTACTGAAGCTTTTTCCACATTCCCTGTACGTGTAGGGCCATTCTCTGGTGTGTATGTGCTGGTGTCGGATCAGGTGGGAGCTTGTCCTGAAGCTCTTCTCACATTCCAAGCACCTAAAGGGTTTTTGCCTGCTGGGAGGCTGCTCAGGGACCACCAGCTTGGAGCTATGGCTCGAGCTCCGGCCGCCATGGCAACACCCCTCCTGCTCTCCCCCCTCCCTATAGCCCTCCTCTCCCACCCCTTTCCCGGGTCGTTTCCCAGTGTGGATTTGCTGGTGTTGGATCAGGTGGGAGCTCTGCCTGAAGCTCTTCCCACATTCGCCACACGAATAGGGCCGTTCCCCAGTGTGGATGCGACGGTGCTGGATCAGGGTGGAGTTGGTCCTGAAGCTCTTCCCACATTCCCCACACCTGTAGGGACGTTCCCCAGTGTGGATGTGCTGGTGTTGGATCAGATTGAAGCTCCTCCTGAAGCTCTTCCCACATTCCAAGCACCTGAAGGGCTTCTGCCTGCTGGGAGGCTGCTCAGGGACCACCAGGTCCAAGCTCCCCCTCAAGCTCCAGCTGCTTTCCTGGCACAGGCTGGGTCTTTCCTCCTCAGAGCACCCTGGGCTGGCTTTGGAGCCCCTCCTG